GGAGGAGCTGCGAGTTCCCTCCCGTCATGCGGTAGGGTATTGGGGGCGGGACTATATTGAAAGGATGTTACAAACATCCCTATTAGCTCCAGTGGGGCTGTTTCCATGCTAACCTGGGGTGCAGGGCCTCTTAACTGGTTTCCAGGTTTGTCACAAAAGGTGCTGGTGGTCCATGTATTGTTGACTGAATCAGGGTCTCCATGAGAGGAACGAGGGCTTCCTACTCCACCATCTCTCATGGTCACCACCAATGTCACTATCCCTCTTTTTCAATCTGAAAATCACACCCAGTTTACGCTGAAGCAACAGAGCTTCTCTGCTTCGGAAACCTCCCTCATCTCCTTTTACATAACTTCTCAATGGACCAAGAACAGCTTTGTGGATATCAGGAGAGCGATGGGAGGGACAGTCCCCCAGGCAGTGGGTCTCAACTTGGCAGGGGGGTGGTGGGAGTGGGCAGGGGGGGTTCCTACTACCCCAGTGCACTGAGGTCCTACTCAATACCAGGGGGAACAGTGAGTAGGGTGTCTATACCTGCAGTGTGAGGGATGCCCCCACACCAGTAAGAACCATCCTTCCCCAAATGCCAACAGCACCAGTGGAGAGCAATTAAATCTCATATCTACAGTTTCTGACTGGTAAATGCCAGTGTTTCTTGTGCATAAACCTCAAAGCCACAGCATGTAGTCTGCGAGTTCCCCAAGTGCTGAGACACTGCAGGCTGGCCTATGACAGACAGAGGTTTAGCCTGTGGGGCTGTTTGCTCCGAGAGGGTGGCTTTTCCTCATTCACGGCGGTGTCCGTGTGCAGAGCACCAGCCTGAATGCAGGTCCCGTAAAAACCCTCTTTTGGTAGGAGTTATCCCTTTACTATATATTAAGCTGAAGCCAAAGAATGAAGTGATGTACAGAACGGTTAAATGTGATGCCTATGCTTCCTTGACAGGGCCTGGAAAACCAGAAATGTATGCAAGTATACTCATAGCTCTCTCAATTAAGACAATTTATAAATTATTATTCAGCTCTCAAGGGCATTTTATATCCTATAAATATTTCTTAAACATTTTAAAAAATACAGTTAGCAAATGACCTTATAAATGACACACATTCTGATTTCAATTGCTAATCTAATAGTTTAAGCTTTATTTCTCCCCCCTATTAGACACATTTATTTTTTAAGTCAAAAAGTTTATTGAAATCTCTTGGACTAAAGTCTATGGCTCCCTTGGGTAATTCTGTTATAACTGCTGGTAACAAGCTTTAAATACTCTTTATTATTCTTCTATTCGATTAAAGATGTTAATAAAATCACAAAATCTTACTGCTTAAAATCACTATATAAAGTGTCGGGAATAAATGAAAAGCTTTACTTACCCTTTCTATTTTATACGGTGCAACGATATTGTGTTCTTTAATGAAATATACCTGAGAAGGACAAATCAATTACATGTGAGATAATTAAAAATTCTCAGTAATAAGTTACTATAAATTAAGATATTATGCATCAAATTTAAATCAGTGTGAACATAATCTCTATTTCCAAAAGCACTTGCATTGCTCTTAGTATGGCTTTAAAGTTGTAGTGTTAAGATAACAAATCTTAAAAAGGGATTCAAGGCAGCAAGGTAGCAACCTTTGCCGGGTAAGTAAGATCCCTAAGATGTTTTATGAATGTCATGACCTGTACCCAGTAACCAAGCAGACAGGGGAAGGAAGCTAATCGAAGTGCCAATTTTCTAAGAAACGGGCAAAACAAAGTCACTGTGGTATGAGATATGCTTATTAACATAAAGAACCTTCTCTTCTCTGTAGGCGATCTGGGCATAGGGTGTCTTACACGCACTGGTCACCTGCCTACACTGTATGTTAGTAACCACGTCCAAGAAGCAATGCCACCCGCCAGGGCCGTCAACACGGAGCCCTACCCGTCTCCCTGCCTTCCCTCCTGCCATGATGATGGGTCTGCCCGGGCCCTCAGAAGCGGTCGCTCTCCTAGGCCACAAAATGTAGACCTCCCTCCACCTGCCAGCTGTTCAGAAACTCTGCTCCTATGGTGATAACGCTTGCTGTACTTTCTCACATTTGAAACAAACAAGAGATAAGAACCCTCCCTTGGGTCTTGTATCCTCATTTTACTGTTTCTGTTCCTTTTTGTGGCAAAACTCTTTGCAAGAGCTGACGGTACTTTCTCTTGGGCCCTGGGTGGGTTTTTAGCCACACCACACATTAAGGGGTGAATCCACTCCTGAGGTCATAAAAGGTGCACCAGATCTCCAGGTCACCAAACTCAAGGGTCTGTTCTGAGCATTTCCTGGGTTCCGTTTCTCAGAGCTCAGGATGGCTCTTCCTGAAGCAGCTGTCCAGCTGGCTTCCAGCCACCGGCTCCCAGCCCTCCCTGGCCTCGCCCGCTGCCCCTTCTGTCTTCCTTCAGACCCTCTCTCTTCCCAACCTCCCGCGGCAGACTTGCTGGGTTTAGTCCTCAGGCCCCTCTGTGTACACCCGGCCCCTAGAAACCTCATCCAGGCCCCGGGCTTCACCCAGCTTATGTCTATCGCCTCAGCCTTCTCCCTGAAACCCAGACCAATGCTCCTGAGGCCCGCCAGACTTTCCCTCTCAGAGGTCACCTTCTCAACAGAGCCTGCTCTTCCCTGGGCTCCTTGACAGCAATGGAGGGCCTTGCTATCCACTTTGTTGGGGGTCATTCCTGACTGTTCTCCTCTGTACATTGCAACGAACCCATCAGTACACCTGTTAGGTTTTTCTTCAGCATGTATCCAGACACTGGCCACCTCTCACCTTCCCATTGCTACCATCCTGGACTAAAACCTCCTGGTTCTCAATACCCCTCAAGGCTCTCCTTGCTTCCGCTCATGCCCCCTAGAGCATATTCCCTACCCAGCCTCCAAGAAATTTACCAACACACACAACTCAGCTGTCAGGGGTTATTTATTCTCTTTTGTGCTTTATGTGGACTGCTTATTACCCCACAGGGCCTCCGTGACACAGAGCCCACCACCGCTCCACCTCCCTTCCCCACTGCCCTTCATCCCTCTCCCCACGCACATTCACCCCCACTGAGCCTGCCACCTGCCAGGACCTTCGCCTCTCAGGCCCCCACCACTCGGCAGCTGCCTGGCTCATTCCCTCAGCCCTTCTGAGTGGTGTGCCTTCCCATGTGCCTCTGCGGCCAGGCACCGCTGACCATTCTCTCTAAAGCAGCTCCTGCTTTCCTCATCATTCTCGATCCTTTTGTCCTGTTTGCATTTTCTTCCGTACAGAAGATGTCTGCTTATTGTCTGTTGCCCCCATCAAACAGTAAAGTCCATGGGGAGAGGGGCTTTGAATACTTTATTCTTCCCTATGCCTTCAAAGCCGTGAATATATATACTGAATATATAAATGCATGAATAAAAACTATTATTTACACAAACACCTACTCTCTAAAGCCTAAAGAACCATAACATATTTCTGAAACAAGTGTGACCTCTTAAAGTAATCAAAAGCCACAAAAGTTGAGCTGCTTTTCATTGTATACTTAAGTTGATTTTGAGTTAGTCTGACACGAGACCTCTGCTACTAAGTCTGTAAATGACTAAAATGGATCATTTGTATAATGGAAACCACGCTTCCAATTGAGAAAGTACCTCTTCCTTTCAAGAAGTGGACTTTCTAGAACAAAGCTATGATGTAGGATGATACTACAGAAATAATGAGAGCACAGGTGCAGGCCAGAATTACGGTGTTCCCCCCACCCCACCTCCAAAGTAATAGATGGCTTTAACTGTTTTCATTTATACCAGGTCAAACAACAGGAAGTCAAAGATAGGCTGGTTTCAAATGTTTTCTTTCTGGAAACTAACTGAATCATGGAAGGTAGACCTAGAAAATCACCTCATCTGTTTATCTCCCTGCTTTCACAAAACACTTTTCAATACACATTAAAAAGTGTTCCATGGGGCCTCCTGGATGGCTCAGTTGGCTAAGCGTCTAAGTCTTGACCTTGGCTCAGGTTATGATCTCACAGTTCGTGAATTTGAGCCCCATGTAGGGCTCTGTGCTGAGCACAGAGCCTGCTTGGGATTCTCTCTCTCCCTCTCTCTCTGCCCCTCCCTTGCTCGCTCTCTCTCTCAAAATAAATGAATAAACTTAAAAAAAAAAAGTGTTCCATGAACAGAAGGGGTAGGTGATCCGAAAAAAACCCACCGGAGCAGCCTCTGCTCCAATCATCTCCCTCCTACGCTTACTTGACCATGGAATGATTTCCCTTTGAGAAAATCCACTTCATGGAACTAGGCCTCTGCAGATAGTTGGGGCAACATGATCTCTAACCCTCTCATTTTAAAGATAAAAAAGGTAAAATCCAGAGCAAAAAGCAAGTGGGAGAGGCCCTTGACTCCTTTCTTATTTATAAGTTAAAAAAAAAAAAAATCTATGAACGAACTAAGTATATGATGGGAGAAAAACCGTATTTTAATTTTCTTTGTGTTGCCAGCAGTAAGCACGGCACTGGGTACATCATTGTACACGGAATACATCTGGAATGAGTAAGAGGTCATGACCCCAAGCCTCATCACTGTACAAGCCGGCACATCCTGAGCTGGTGGCCTGCTGTCACCATGAGCCAAGCCGAGATCCTACTCAGTGCTGTGCTGCTGACCCCCACCGACTAAGTGGCCAGGAGGCCTGGGGGGAGGGGGGACGAGGGGGGGCTGCGGTGGTTTCATCTCAACCCACGGACACCATCATGATCCTCAGGACGAAACCACAAGCCTGCAGGCATCACACAACTTTATAAACATTAAGGATCTCATTAGTGATCACAGCTTTAAAAATATATATTTCTCGGGGCCCCTGGGTGGCTCAGCCAGTTACGTGTCTGACTTCGGCTCAGGTCACGATCTCATGGTTCGTAGGTTCGAGCCCCGCATCAGGCTCTGGGCTGACAGCTCAGAGCCTGGAGCCTGCTTCAGATTCTGTGTCTCCCTCTCTCTCTGCCCCTCCCCTGCTTGTGCGCTCTCTCTCTCTCTCAAAAATAAATACAAAATTTAAAAAATATTTCTCAATGGTTCGATATTAAAAGCATTTAAAGATCTGTTCCAGCAGTCTTTGTTTGAGATTTCTACCAATAATTTCACTGTGCTAAAAAAACCCAAAATGGTGTGTGCATGTTTTTACTCAGGTTAAGAAAAAAATATTCACTATGTGCTTCTTACCTGACTGAAAAGGAGTGAAATCGCCCCAGATTTTGCCCTACAATGCAGATAAAAGTCATTATATATACAGAATTTTTTGGCAGAAGTAAAATTAAATAGTTACTGACAAAGACATACTTTGTAAAGTGTCTACTGGATCCATTTTCTTCATGTTTTCCTATTTTTATACAATCTCTCAAAGGAATCTGGATAAAATTGAGGGAGAAATATTATAAAAATAAGCAAAGGTAAGATATACACAAAGAGTAAGAATGTCTCTGTTCACATTTAAAATGCATTTACCTTAATGATGGGCTGGGATATTGCATCTGGTTCAAAAATAACCGATTTTGAACATATTTTTAAGGAGCCTCTGATTTTCCTAGGGATCAAAATACAAAGGATTATTGCTCATGAACATAACAGAAGTCACCAAAGAACTATAATACATTTTAACTAGAAAGTACATAGCCAAACCATTAACTAAAAGAACAACAATGCAATTTAAGAGAAGTGGCAGGCCAGATTTTGAACCCAGGGCCATAGTTTGCCATCCTGACCCCATTACTCATTAGGAACTGAAATTTTTATCATTCTTTCTGTGTTTATTATCTAGAATTCATTAATAGAGAACAACCTGATAGTATTTATCTGTGATCTGGTTACTCTAAAAGTACAAGTTGTACAGAGAAAGCAGAAAAACTGCTTGATTCTTTACCTTTATTTATCAATTTCCAGAAAAATGAGCTGGGGTCCCAGCATCACTGGGATGGATGGATATATATCTCATGAACTCATGGATTTTAACGGTTCTGATATGTTTCAATCACTGAGTCATTATTCTTTTCCACTGTCCAGTTTGCCCCATTTGTTGCCCAATTCTTCAAGTTGGCCCTTGTGTCTTTTCAATTCAATGCACGGTAGTTTCTGATGCTTGCCTTCCCGTCCCAACAGGACAGACATTCCAGGCTCATCTCGCACCCCTCCTGCCCCACACTTAGACTCAGCCATTTCTCCAAAGGGCCTTCATTCCTTTCAGTGGGAAGTGGTATTCAGAGAGCACAATCTCGGTGCTCAGCGCGACAGGGTTGTTTCTAGGCCTTTTCTGAGGGGAGAGCTAGAAAATGCTTTCTTTTAAAAGAAAAGTGTATGTGGGGCGCCTGGGTGGCGCAGTCAGTTACGCGTCCGACTTCAGCCAGGTCACGATCTCGCGGTCCGTGAGTTCGAGCCCCGCGTCAGGCTCTGGGCTGATGGCTCAGAGCCTGGAGCCTGTTTCCGATTCTGTGTCTCCCTCTCTCTCTGCCCCTCCCCCGTTCATGCTCTGTTTCTCTCTGTCCCAAAAAAAATAAATAAACGTTGAAAAAAAAAAATTAAAAAAAAAAAAAAAAGAAAAGTGTATGAATCCACATAAGTGTTTCCAATTCAAAAGTAAGATCAGGCTTTTAACTTAACTCCTTTACTACTGGATTTGTATCTCTTTCATACTCAGTTTCTGTCACAGCATCAATATACTACTCATTTGCTTCATATAAATCTATGTGTGTGTGTGAATAACAGTTTCAAAATAATAATACCAAAAGTACTAACAACAATATTACTACTAAAACATTTGCCACCTTTTTTGCAATTCTTTTTCTACTCAGGCTGCATCTCACCAGAGACACAACTTACTGTAGTTACCCCTCAACTTATATATAGTTAAGTTCATTTGCTTCATTTTCTTTTTCATTTTTAGGACTTGCTGTTTCTTCTGAAATTCAATTCTATATTAAAATATGTGTAGGGGGCTCCTGGGTGGCTCAGTCGGTTGAGTGTCCGACTTCAGCTCAGGTCATGATCTCACAGTCCGTGAGTTCAAGCCCCACATCGGGCTCTGTGAGGACAGCTCAGAGCCTGGAGCCTGCTTCGGATTCTGTGTCTCCCTCGCTCTCTGCCCCTCCCCTACTCGCGCTCTGTCTCTCTTTGTCTCTCAAAAAATGAATAAATGTTAAAAAAAATTTAAATATATGCAAAATATTTCTATAGTTCCAAAAGCAAAGGATATAAAATAAGGGACACTCAGAGAAGTCTAGTCATCATTTTATATTATTCCCCCATCGCTCCTTCTTCTGTGTAGATAAGTATTTTCATTACCTTTTAGTTTATGCTTTTTAAAATGTGTAATTTAAAAAATTTTTAATTTTTAAAAAATATAGCCAAAAAATATTTCCTTCCTTTCTTATGTGAAAGACAGCATACAGTACCCAGTATTCTGCCCTCACTTTTTGCACTCAGTGCATGCATGCCGGAGACAACTCCACAGCACTATGCACAACTTCTTCACTCACTGGACTCTTTCCAGTATTTTGCTATTGCAAGTAACGTTATGGTAAATAACCCTGTGCATGGGTGCGTTTATATATTTCCCACGGTACCCCTGAGACAGTTTCCTAGAAGCAGCCTTGCTAGATCAACAGGTTAATGCACATGCCACGTTGCTAGATATCACCGAATTCACTTCCGTGGATTACACCAATGTACTCTAATGGTCCCTTAAAACGTATAAAAATAGGTTTCAGTTTGCTAGCTTACGTGTGTGTTTTAATAAGAAACAAATGTACAGTAAAACCTTGGGTGGTAACTTGTTCTGCAAGCGTTCTGCCAGACGAGCAAACATTTCTAATGAATTTTAACTTGATAAACAAGCAACGTCTTGCAATATGAATAGTACAGGATGCCGAACATCACATGATCATCACTGACCCAATGGTTCTTGTCTCTCTCTGCCTCTCTCTCTCTCTCTCTACGGGATCGTGGGTGATAATCTCCCCACGGATGCTCGGTCTCAGGCCACGGTGTTCGGCAGAAACCAGTGATTTTTCAGAATGTTGGAAGGTGCCCGCAACGGGCACTAGGGTATTTTTTGTCACTTCACAGCAGAGTCCTTTGCTTTTCCAGGAGAGTCAGCTTAGGAACGCTTTGCTTCATTCTAGGTCAGGCTGCCCGCAGATAGAGACCCTCTCCTCTGCAGCCTTATTGCCGGTTACATTAAATACAGTACATGGCAAGAATTTATTAATACTGTACTGTAGTCAACATCCGTTAGTGATAGTGAAAGTCGTCCTACACAATAACCCTCCTCTCTCTTGTCTCCCTCACACCAGTCACAAAGGTTTTCAAGGGTAAGTGCAGGTTAATATATTTTTCTTTAGATTTTGTATTTTCTTTATTATTTTATATAATATTACAGTATTGTAATCATTTTTATAGGAATATTTTTGGGTTGTGGAATGAATCATCTCAGTTTCTGTTATTTCTTATGGGGAAATTTGCTTTAACGTACAAATGCTTTGGATTACAAGTATGTTTCCAGAACGAATTATGCTCACAAATCAAGGTTTTACCGTACTTAATTTTAAGCAAGACATTGTTATGATATAGGGCAGAGGAGTATTGGGAGGAAAAACAAAGGTATGAAATTAAGGAAAAGAATATGAGCAAAATTCCAGAAGTAAGAAAACAATGTCCTACTTTCAAGGAATAGTAATTATCTAATTTGAATGCTAAAGAAACAGACATTCAATGCACAGTAGTTTCTGATGCCTGCCTTCCTCCCCAATAGGACAGACTCTCCAGGGTCAACTTGTACCCTTCCTGCCCCAGACTTAGACTTAGCCACTTCTCCCAAACAAAAAGCTAAGTAATTTTCACTTTAGGTTGTATTCAAACAAATACCACACGGCTTTGATGGTCCTTTCAAAATAAAACCTGAAGAACAATAAAAATTAAAGAGTTTAACTAGTATCAAAGCATGTTCAAGTTGTGGCCTGTATTGTTAAGGGACATCTCTCAAAGGAAACCATAAGCAAAAACAACTTTGCTGCAACAACTCTGATTTTATGCATTCCAAGTTGGTATTTTAAACAAAAAATTTCATTATACATTTTTGTACACAGCTTTCAAAAGGTATGGCCAAAGAAACGGAATCTGTTTTTATAGCAATAAGCTGTAACTATTACAATATACAGAAAACTGATTTCACTTCTACTTCAGATCAAATTATTCATTTTGAAAGTACTGATTTTTATGCCACTCTGGTGTTTTATGATCATTACCTTATAACATCATAACCCAAATAATTGAGAGTATAAGTACAAAAGTGACACATGAAAAAAAAAAGATGGAATAATGAAGCCGAGTCCTATCCAGCTGATTTAAGAACCCATATTAGAGGAATTCATACACACTACTTCTTAGCTTTAGAAAAATCTGAAGTATGACAGCAACTTATAAGGCCTCCTTTCTCATTCTGTTCCCAGTACAAAAGGGGGGAGAACCTGCAAGATCATACATTTAATTTTTAAAATATCAGGCAAGGAAAAGGTCTGTGACTCTGTAAAGATCCAAAAATCTTCCTTACCTTTCGTTGTGACCACCCTTGTTCTGAATATGATTAGCTGTATGTTGTTCAAAGTAGTATTCCTCCAAGTTAAGTAGGAGCAAGGAAAATCTAAATTTGGAAAAACCAGAGCAAACAAAACAAAACCTCATGTTTATTATTTTTTTTTAAGTATAAGAAAGCAGAATATTTAAAGCATCTGTTCTCAAAGTGTTTTTCCATTCATTAGATCAACAAATACTTATTAAGTATAGATCCTATACCAGAAACCCTTCTCTAGTCACTGGGAGAAAGCGACAGACAGACCTACCTGGCCAAGCCCAAAATAACACAAATAAAATTATTTACAAGTAGATTTTTTAACTCCTTTAGGAGAACCCCCAAATTTTATTTTATATTAATTTTTTTTAAATGTTTATTTACTTTTGACAGAGAGAGAGAGAGAGAGAGAGAGAGAAAGAGAAAGAACAAGAGCAGGGGAGGGGCAGAGAGAGAGGGAGACACAGAATCCGAAGCAGGCTCCAGGCTCTGAGCTGTCAGCACAGAGCCCGATGCGGGGCTCAAACCCGCAGACCGCGAGACCATGACCTGAGCCAAAGTCGGATGCTCAACCGACTGAGCCACCCAGGTGCCTGAGAACCCCCCAAGTTTTTGAAATAAAACTTATTCTTGCCTGAACAAAACCTGGGGCTTTCCTATCTATGGAGTTTTCATCCTTTGTTTCCTCTGACCGACTACCAGACGTCCCCACCTCCCCTTCAAACTGCACCCCGCCTCCCGTTCTAGTGTTCCACCTTCTGGTTAGTTGGGTTTATCTTACGACTTCCACAAGATCATATGATTCTGCGAGTCAGATCTTTAGATACAGTCCAATGCTTTGGTGTTGAGTAAGTAAGTAAACTGAACAGAAGAGGACTGAAATGTAGTTCTTTTAAAAGTTTTAACTGCTTTAAAAGTATGAATTCAGTTGTATGGCCACAGAAATAAACACATGGTAAATAAGTGAAAACAAGTGTTTCATCTGTTCTGTGGTGACATCGGACAACACTGGCGGCATTCTACAGGGTCAGGAAAAGCTCTCACGGGCAATGTGGGACTGGAGGTCTGGTGGTTGGAGGAAGGTATCTCTGATATACATAGCAGATCAAGCATGTGTGCTATCTCTGCTCCACTAAAATGTGAATGAAAATATTTTTTAAATTGTAAGACCTCAGACCAAAGAAAACTGAAGAGTCACAAAGACAAGAGCAACAAATATGTAAGAAATGGAAAGCAGATGGGAGGAATCGGCAGTGATCGGAAACCAGAACGGCAGATGCCTCCAGTAGAAGGTACCAATCGGTAGAAAACCAACTCAAGTCACAGGACTTCCAGAAAGTCCTGAAATTGCAGGAATCAGGTACCAAGAAGGTAAGGAGGAAGCATGGGGGGCATGGCCCGAAGTCTGAATGGTCAGTAGCCCAGATTCCTCCCCTGACGCCTACCCTACTTCGCTCTGGCACAGGTTTTTCTAGACAAAAACTGAGTAAGAGGCTCCAAAGCAGACACCAAGCACAGTGGAGAGCAAGGCTACGTACAGCATGAAAAGAGAGTGATTAAGGAAAAAGTAGGAACACATAACCACTCCAAGCAACAGTTTGGCAGATTATTTTTAGAAAAAAAAAACAACTAGCTTTAGAGAAAAGACCTTTAGAGAAAAGAGATAGGAGTACTTGAAGGAGCCGGGTCTCTACAATATCATCCCTTACTGGAGCCCACCAGAAAGGGCCTGCCCACGGTGACACAGAATTACATGCTTCATGCTTAAATACGAACGGATAGCTCAAGATCACCAGGCTCTAACATGAAGGAACTAGAGCAAAACAAGTGGAAGAACACGATGTGAAGTTCTAGACATAATACAGAGAACAGGAGCTCAAAAACCTATAATATACTTACAAAAAAGCCATTATATCCAGACAACAAGACATTGCTCATTACAAAGAAAACCTGAACCAAAAGAAAAATAACTCATAAATTAAAAATAATGACAGCAGGAACCAGCTTTACCATCCTCATAGGTAACTCTTTATTAGCCTATTCTATGTCTTTAAGTCCATGAACAAGAATTAATCATTGGCTAAAATGCCAGAGCTCAAAGGCAAATGCTCACTATTAATTCTTATTCTGAAGGTGAATACAATCACAAGAGTTGGGATTGCTAGAACGGTCCTTTGATGCTTCAGATAATTTCCACGAAGGTTTAAATCAGAGACATACTTCCTAGTTACCTTGGCCCTTGTCTTTAGCTTGTGGCTTAATGACCTAAAAACCTTTGCTTGGGCTGGAGCTATCTAATCCTTCGTTCCCCCCTTCTTGGTCCCCACTCCTCCTCTTAAGAGAAAAGGTAAAATAAGACAAGTATCTTTAGTAAGACAATGGCACAATTTTATTGCTATGAAGCACAAAGAACCTTCACAGACAATCGGCTCTTCCATATAATTATTAAAATATAACCCTATCCTTTGCCACAACATGGATGGATCTAGAGGGTATTAAATTACATGAAATAAATCAGAGAAAGACAAATACCATATGATTTCACTCATATGTGGTATTTAAGAAACACAACAAATGAATACAGGATAAAGAGAGAAAGAAAAAAATAGACTCTTAAATACAGAGAACTGGTGACTGCCAGAGGGGAGGGGGTGGGGGGTGGCTGAAATAGGAAAAGGGATTTAAGAATACACCTGTGATGAGCACCGAGTAATGTACAGGCTTGTGGAATAATTATATTATACACTAAGTTTTTTAAAAAAGAAAAATAAACATATATACATATATAATCCTATCCTTAATATTGTTAAAACATCCATACTACCCAAAGTGATCTGCAGAAATCATTGCCAAATCCAGTGTCATGAAGCTTCCCTCCAAGTCTTCTAGGAGTTTTGTACTTTCAGGTCTTGCATTTTAGGCCTTCAATCCATTTCGAGTTAATTTTTGTATGCGATTTTTTTAAATTTTTTTTTTTCAACTTTTATTTATTTATTTTTTTTTTTGGGACAGAGAGAGACAGAGCATGAATGGGGGAGGGGCAGAGAGAGAGGGAGACACAGAATCGGAAACAGGCTCCAGGCTCTGAGCCATCAGCCCAGAGCCTGACGCGGGGCTCGAACTCACGGACCGCGAGATCGTGACCTGGCTGAAGTCGGACGCTTAACCGACTGCGCCACCCAGGCGCCCCTGTATGCGATTTTAAAGTAAGGGCCCAACTTCATTCTTTTGCATGTGGAAATCCAGTTTTCCCAGCACCATTTGTTGAAAAGATTGTCCTTTTCTTTCTTTAAAAACTTTTTTAATATTTATTTATTATTTTGAGAGAGAGACAGAGTGTGAGCGAGGGAGGGGCAGAGTGAGAGGGAGACACAGAACCCAAAGCAGGCTCCAGGCTCTGAGCTGTCAGCACAGAGCCCGACGCAGGGCTCGAACTCCCAGACTCCAAGATCATGACCTGAGCTAAAGTTGGATGCTCAACTGACTGAGCCACCCAGACGCCCCATGAAAAGACTGTCCTTTTCTTATTGTGTGGCCTTGGAACACTTTTAAAGATCATTTGACATTGATTTGGCAATGATTTCTTGGACAGGACACCAAAAGCATCAGCAACAAAAGCAAAAATAAATGAACGTGACCACCTGAAACTTAAAAACTCCTGCGCAGCAAAGAAAATAATCAACAGAATGAGAAGACAACCTAAAGAACTGGAAAGAGTATTTACAAACCATCTATCTGGTAAGGAGTTACTACTCAGAATATATAAAGAACTCCTACAGCTCAACAACAAAACTTAACCCAATTTAAGAATGAGCAAAGGACTTTAATAGACACTTCTCCAAAGAAGATATACAAATGGCTGAAAAGTATATGAAAAGATACCCAATATCAGTAATCACCAGGAAAATGCAAACCAAAACCATAAATGAGAGATCGCCTTGCACACCATTCAGAAGAAGAAGAAGAAGAAGAAGAAGAAGAAGAAGAAGAAGAAAACAAACGTTGGCAAGGATGTGGAGAAATGGGGACCCTTGCCCACTGCTGGCAGGAATGTAAAATGGGGCAGCTGCATGGAAAACAGGGTACAGGTTCTCTCAAAAATTAAAAATAGAACTACCACACAATCCACAGTCCCACTTCTGGGTATTTATCCAAAAGAATGGAAAAGGGGACCTCAAGGTATCAAGTGAGCATAGCCAGGCTCACTGCAGCGCTGTTTACAACCTAAATGTCCATCAATGATGAATGGATAAAGAAAATGGGATATATGCATACAATGGAGTATTATTCAGCTTTCAAAAAGAAGGAAGTCCTGTCTTATGCTACAACATGGATGAACCATTATGCTAGTGAAATAAGCCAGTCACAAAAAAACAAATACTACAAAATTCCACTCATGTGAGGTATCTGAGGTAGTCAAACTCTCACCAAGAAAAAACAGAATGGCCGTTGCTAGGAGCTGGAGGTAAATGGAAAAGTAGAACAGCTTTTCAGGGAGTTGCTTTTCAGTGGGTATAGAGCTCCCGGTTTGCAAGACGGAAAAGTTCTAGAGATCTGCTGCACAACAATGTGAACATACTTAACACCACTGTACTATACACTTGAAAATGGTTATGACAGTAAAACTATGCTATGTGTTTTTTACCACAATTAAAAAAAAATAGTATCAACCATTATAGAACTGGAGTCATCATTTGCTAAGTAACTTGTATCCTGCTTAATTTACCAATATTCATACTTTGTAAGAAACGTAAAACACATGGTAAAGGGACAGAACCAAATTATTTAAAGTTAAAGGATGAAGGGATTTTTCTGAGTTTATTTTTCTCTCTACTGAAGTGTTTAGTTATGCCTGCTTTAAAATTTTTGTATGTAAAAATGGTTCCAATAAGGTTTCGCGGTATTTTGAACAATGACTTTTAAACCACATCCCCTGGAGGAAAAGGTTCTGTGAAATCGCTTTTATAACTAAATGATTTCTTTCCGAGGCTCTTGGCCCTGCCCCTGGGATTCCTCAGTTTAAACTGTCTTACAGAGGTGTGGTGGGCTCTTCAGATTCTCCTGATAAATTCACTCACTCAGCAACTTAACTTTCTTGAAAAAGATGCTGTCC